CGCTTTTAAGTGGGAGCCAAGCAATGGGTACTCATGGACATAAAGATGACAACAATACAAACTGCGGACTACTATAGGAGAAGAAGGGGCAAGGGCTGAAAAACGAGCTATTGGGTACTATGCTCAGTACCTTGGTTACAGGATCAGTCATACACTAAACGTCAGCATCATGCAGTATACCCAGGTGACAAACTTGCACGGGGACCCCTAAATCTAAAATAAAAGTCAAAATTATCCTTTTTTTTAAAAAAAAAGGGTGGCTAGGCATGGTGGCTCATGCCTGTAATACCAGCACTTTGGGAGGCCAAGGCAGGTGAAACACCTGAGGTCAGGAGTTCGAGAACAGCTGAGCCAACATGGAGAAACCCTGCCTTTACTAAAAATACAAAAATTAGCCGGGCATGGTAGTAGGCAACTGTAATCCCAGCTACTTGGGAGGCTGAGGCAAGAGAACCACTTGAACCTGGGAGGTGGAGGTTGCAGTGAGCCAAGATCACGCCACTGCACTCTGGCCCGGGCAACAGAGCAAAACTCCATCTTAAATAAAAAAATAAAAAGGGTAGATGACTAATAATTCACTATACCCCAACCAGAAAAATAGTTGCAGTATCTTTAAAGACAAAGTTTACTGGAAGCTCAGAAAAAGAAATAAAGGCCATTTTTTTCAGAAGAACCAGAGGACTCTAAACAGATGAGAATGCTTCATACATTTATAAAGTTGAGCTGAGCCTTTGGCCTAAGTTTCCCTCTGGCTCTTACATTCTACAATTCCAGATCTTTCATGAAGATTTCAAAGAATTTTCTGCCATGGTTGTAGTGTCTTTCTGAAAAGACTGATGTTCTTTCATCTACCAAATTCCAAATTCCCTTCTCAAGGCGTTTCTTCTTATATGCTATCTCTTTACTGCTCTCCATAGGCTAACAGCTGTTTGCTTTCTTGGTTAATCTTCAGTTTCACTGTGATGAGTCTTCTTATAGATTAACAAAATAGTAATATATATGTTTGTGCTGTTTCTTGAAATTAATCATAGGTATTTATTATTATTATGAGACAGTATATCTCTCTCACGCAGGCTGGGGTGCAGTGAGGCAATCATAGCTCCCTGCAGCTTGGAATTCCTGGGCTCAAGTAATCCTCTTGCCTCCAGCTCCCAAGTAGCTGGGATTACACATGCATGCTACCATGCATGGCTAAATTTTAACTGTTTTTGTAGAGATAGGGTCTTGCTATATTGCCTAGGCTGGTCTCAAACTCCCAGGCTCAAGCACGCCTCTTGCTTTGGCCTTTCAAAGTGCCAGGATTACAGGCATGAGCCACTGTGCCCAGTCAGATTGGTGGGGGGTTTTGTCAACAATTCTGGAAAATTCTTAGGCATTTTATTGTTATTGAATATTGTCTTTTTCTCATTCTCTCAGTTACCTCTTTTTGGATCTTTGACATTTTTTAGCCCTTCTCATTTTAACCTCCACATTTCTTAACCACCCTTTCCTATTTTTTAGCTTTTATTGTCTCTGTGGGCTTTCTATCTTTTCTTTGTATCTATCTTTGAGTTTACCTAATTCTTTTTCTGCTATGCCTAATCCACTGTTTAATCTGTCCATTGAGCTTTAGATTCTAATTTTTATGCCTTTCACTTATAGAAGTTATATATATATATAAGTTTGTTTTACAAACCACTTGGTTATTTATATTTTCAAGATGTTCTTTTTATTTCTTTAAACTTTTTAAATATATATCTTATATTCTGCACCAGGTAATTTCAAGATCTGTAGTCTCTATGGGTCTGATTCTGCTGTTATTTCTGCTCACTTTCTCTCATGGTGACTGACTTCCTTGTGTGGTTTCTATTTTTAAATTATGATCATTTTCCTTGAAAATTTACCTATGAAAATACTTCAGGGTCTGGATTAAGATATATTTTTTAAGAGAAGATTTACATTTCCTTCCATCAATTTCCTCAAGGCACTACTTACCTGGAACTACTTGAAATTGAATTTTCTTTTTGAGATGTTCCAGAACACACAGGTAACATGAATTATGACTATAAACCTTTGTGAGATCTGGCTTAGGGTTACAAATTCTCAAAGAATGTTTTTTGTTGTTTTATTTTGTTGTATCTACCTGTCTTAGTCCATTTGTATTGCTAAAAGGAATAATTGAGGCCAGGAAATGTAAAAGAATAAAGGTGTATTTGGCTCATGCTTCTGCAGGCTGTACAAGAGCATGGCTCCAGCACCTGCTTCTAGTGAGAGCTCCAGGCTGCTTCCACTCATGGTAGAAGCAGGAAACAGCAAGAGGAGGGCAGGTGCCAAGCTCTTTTGAACAACCAGCTCTCATCAAAACTCTCAGGGAAATTAATAAAGCAAGAACTCACTCATTCCCAAGAGGATGACACCACCCCATGCATGAAGGATCCACCCATGTGACCCAAACACCTCCCATTAGGCCCTACCTCTATCATTGGAGATAAAAAAATTTGTTAAAAAATATTGTTTTTATACCTGACTGGGAGGGGATAACATTTTAACATGAGGTTTAGTGGGTCAAATAGCATTAGTCAATGCTAAAGATAAGACCAAGATAATTTTTTCCTGTCTCTTCCTCCTGGCAAGTTTATCTTTCATTCATCCTTCACTAAAACTGTAATCCTTGGGTTCTTTTCCCAGCACTGCATTTTATTGAACAACCCTAACTATAATAAGAATGCTCTGAATTTGTCTATTAAGCAAGATAGATAAAAGCCTATTTTTTGTTTGTTTGCTTCTTTGGTTTTTGCTTGTTTTGAGACAGAGTCTCATTCTGTCATCCAGGCTGGAGTGCAGTGGCGTGATATTGGCTCACAACCTCTGCCTCCCAGGTTCAAGTGATTCTCCTGCCTCAGCTTCCTGGGCAGCTAGGATTATAGACAGGCACCACCACACCCGGCTAATTTTTGTATTTTTAGTAGAGACGATGTTTCACCCTGTTGGCCAGGCTGGTCTCAAACTCCCAACCTCAAGTGATCCACCTACCTCGGCCTCCCAAACTGCTGGGATTACAGTGGTGAACCACCACATCTGGCCAGTAAAAGCCTAATTAACTGGGAAAAAAGAAGAGAGAGAATCATAACTTGGCTTCTTTCAGCCTGAACAAACATTTCTGTGGTACACTAGATTAGAGGTTGTTTCGCCATTCTATCATTTGCCTCACTGTGGTTTCTCTCTAATTAGCTTTACTAATTACTGAACCTTCACCAGACTGCAAATTCCTTGAGGGTAGGAAGTGCCTTTCTCACCTGCATATATTCCTTATAGTCTCCAAAGCAGTGGATGGTCTGCAGTGTGGGATCACTAAGTGTTCATTACTTCTATGTCCACTTCACTGCTGGGTGCTCCTCTTCTCCCATCCATCCAGGCGCTTGGGCAAGGCCAGGGAATAATCCCATTCCATCACCCCACACATCTTATCATTTAATACTCTCAATTTTATTTCTTGACTTTCTCTCAAATCTGACTTTTCCTGTTACGGTATCCACAGTCTTAGTTTATTTGTAATCATTTCTCCCCTCGTATATTCCAAAAAAAAAAAAAAAGATTTCTTGAGTGTGTTACACAGAATCTAGTTGAGCAAGATTTAATAGACCTATCTGTTTTTGCAGTTAAATAAGCCATTACCACACAAGATACAGTCATCATTTTAAATACATCAGATCATGTAAGTCATTTTTAATGAAGCTTCTCATGCCTCCCCATTACTCTTAGATTAGAACGTACATCTCTCATCCTGGCCTATAAGATCCTATATGATCTTGTCCTGCCTATGACCCTGGCTTCACCTTCTGACTCTCTCTCTTTCTCTCCATCTCTTCCAGCCCCACTAGCCTTCTTGATGTTCTTTGAATGGGACAAGCTTTCCCTGGCCTTTGTCTGGAACAGCTGCCCTCAGAACCTCCCAGGGCTAGCTCTATGTTATCATTGGAATCTCTACTCAAATGTCAATTCTTGAAAGACGCTGCCTGACCAGCCCATCTAAATTAGCCTCTTCTCTCCGCCCCAGTCTCATCACTCTCTAATTCTTTATCTGAATTTACATACTTTTTTGTTTTCTTCACCTGATGCATATTTCTGGAGCATCCACTATATACCAGCAGTTTTGGGTACTGGAGATACATTAAAAAAAAAACAGAACATGTCTTCATGAAGCTTGCGTTTTAGTGTCTGTTTCATGTGTTTATTGAACACAAATTTATGCTTCACTTTTAATTATTACCTAGGCTGGGTGCAGTGACTCACCCCTGTAATATCAGCATTTTGGGAGGCCAAGGCGGGTGGATCAGCTGAGATCAGGAGTTCAAGACTAGTCTGGTGAACAGGTGAAATCCTGTCTACTAAAAATACAAAAAAATTAGCTAGCACAGTGGCACACACCTGTAGTCTCAGCTACTCAGGAGTCTGAGGCAGGAGAGTTGCTTGAATCGGGAGGTGGAGGTTGTAGTGAGCCAAAATCATGCCACTGCACTCCAGCCTGAGCAACAAAGTGAGATTCCATCTCAAAATACATAATAATCTAATTTTTTTCTTTTATGTCGTCCCCCAAAAATGAAGGCTTCAGAATAAATGAATACATAAATGAATGTACAGCTTTAGTGAGCAATCCCTATAAAAACTGCTGCGTATTTTCATCTATCACTTCCACCTGCTAGTCAGCTTGGAGAAGCATGGAAATCCACAAACAACTTGCCTATTATGATATTCCCTTGCTGGAATTAGGGAACTCAGTAAAGACTGGAGTCCAATAGAAGACTGAGCCCTCTTTAGCCAACATTTGTAGACAATAAATTCGATTATTTATTCCAGTCTCTTCTACTCTCGTGTCCCTCCAGGGGGTTGTGCCCCACTGTCAGCTGCACCATTTGCATCACTGCCAATTCAAACATGTATTCATTATCTCTGGACACCCATGAGGACAAGATGATTGAAAATCACTAGCAAACCCCTAACCAAATATTTTATATCCCAGCACCACTGAACCTTCCAGAAAAATCTGCTTTGGCAAAACTGTCAGAGGATCCATTTTGTATCCGAGTGTTAATTATCTGAGGCAATTCTAAGAGCAAGACCTATTTGAGTTATGTACTTTTTTGTGTTATTTGGGGCTTATAATTAGTTGTACTCTTTGAGAATATAAATGTGTTACCCAGTTCATTACCTTCAGATGGACTGAAGAATGTCAGTGGCTCTTCTGCAAATTTGTACAGCATTGTTCAGTAAGTAAGTATATATTTACCCTGGGAGAATATGCATTTTATTAACAATTTGCTTAATTATCTCTCAAAACAATTCAAGTATTCACTGCTTATAATGCTGTCTTTCTCTTCAAAGGTAGGAGTAGGACATCTCAGCAGGGGTTATTGGACATTCTGCTGATCCAACAACTCCAACAAGGCTGCAGGTGCTCATATAGGGACTTGTTTAAGAATGCTTGGCCCCAGTGAAAGCCACGAGTCTCAGGAGGGCCAAGAATAACCCCATTTCTTATTCATTGGCCTCCTTTGCCGAATAATATTAGAAAACCAATTCATTTTAAAAGTGAATCTTTTGCAAGGAAATTATACAAATATCTGCCACGATTTTAGCCACACACCCCACAGAAGAACATCAGTTCTGTCCTGGTGGTGTAGAATTAGGAAATGCCAAGAGACAAAATGGGAAGATGAGAAAGTAGGTGTGGGCAGAAAAGAAATGAACAAAAAAATTAAGAACTTAGCCAAATGACAAGCTCCCTCAGGGGAGATCTGTGGGAGGATACTGTTTCCAAACACATGGCCCAAATGATACCTGGAACTCAAGACCTGAGCTTTTTTTTTTTTCCATAATAACATTTTTGTTTTACTCAATGCTATAACACACATTTATTTTAAAAGCATACAAGCATATATATGTATACATAAAATTAGGCAGAGATTATGGTTACTATTTTAGTTTTTTTTCTTCTTTTTTGGGGGGGAGTTGAAGATACACTTTTAAAAAAATATTTTATTCCACTTTAGGTTCTGGGGTACATGTGAAGAACATGCAGAATTCTTGCATTGGTACATAAATGGCAATATTGTTGGCTGCCTCCATCCCCATTATCTATATCTGGCATTTCTCCCCATGTTATCACTCCCCAACCCCCTACCCCTGCCACTGTCCCTCCCCTAGTCTCCCACAACAGATCCCAGTGTGTGATGCTCCCCTCCCTGTGTCCATGTGTTCTCATTGTTCAACACCCACCTATGAGTGAGAATATGCAGTGTCTGATTTTCTGTTCTTGTGTCAGTTTGCTGAGAACGATGGTTTCCAGATTCATCCGTGTCCCTACAAATGACACGAACTCATCATTTTTTCTGGCTGCATATTATTCCATGGTGTATATGTGCCACATTTTCCCTGTCCAGTCTATCATCGATGGGCATTTGGGTTGTTTCCAGGTCTTTGCTATTGTAAATAGTGCCGCAATGAACATTTGTGTGCATATGTCTTTATAATAGAATGATTTATAATCCTTTGGATATATATCCAGTAATGGGATTGCTGGGTCAAATGGAATTTCTATTTCTAGGTCCTTGAGGAATTGCCACACTGTCTTCCACAATGGTTGAACTAATTTACACTCCCACCAGCAGTGTAAAAGTGTTCCTATTTCTCCACATCCTCTCCAGCACCTGTTGTCTCCAGATTTTTTAATGATCGCCATTCTAACTGATGTGAGATGGTGTCTCAATGTGGTTTTGATTTGCATTTCTCTAATGACCAGTGAGTGATGATGAACTTTTTTAATATGTTTGTTGGCCTCACAAATGTTTTCTTTTGAAAAGTATCTGTTCATGTCATTCATCCACTTTTAAATGGGATTTTTTTTTCTTGTAAATCTGTTTTAGTTCTTTGTAGATTCTGGATATTAGCCTTTTGTCTAACGGGTAGACTGCAAAAATTTTTGTCCATTCTGTTGGTTGCTGATTCACTCTAATGTCTTTCTTTTGCTGTACAGAAGCTGTGGAGTTTGATTAGGTCCCATTTGTCTATTTTGGCTTTTGTTGCCAATGCATTTGGTGTTTTAGTCATGAAGTCCTTGCCTGTGCCTATGTCCTGAATTGTTTTGCCTAGGTTTTCTTCTAGGGTTTTTATGGTGTTAGGTCTTATGTTTAAGTCTTTAACCCAACTGGAGTTAATTTTAGTGTAAGGTGTCAGGAAGGGGTCCAGTTTCTGCTTTCTGCACATGGCTAGCCAGTTTTCCCAACACCATTTATTAAACAGGGAATCCTTTCCCCGTTGCTTATTTTTGCTGGGTTTGTCAAAGATCAGATGGTTGTAGATGTGTAGCATTGCCTCCGAGGTCTCTGTTCTGTTCCATTGGTCTATATCCCTGTTTTGGTACCAGTACCATGCTGTTTTAATACTGTACCCTTGTAGTATAGTTTGACGTCAGGTAGTGTGATGCCTCCAGCTTTGTTCTTTTTGCTTAGAACTGACTTGGCTATATGGGCTCTCTTTTGGTTTCATATGAAGCTTAAGGTGGTTTTTTCCAGATCTGTGAAGGGTAGCTTGATGGGGATAGCATTGAATCTATAAATTACTTTGGGCAGTATGACCATTTTCACAATACTAATTCTTCCTAACCATGAGCAAGAAATGTTTTCCATCTGTTTGTGTCCTCTCATATTTCCTTGAGCAGTGGTTTGTGGTTCTTCTTGAAGAGGTCCTTTACATCCTTTGCTGGTTGTATTCCCAGGTATTTTATATTCTTTGTAGCAATTGTGAATGGCAGTTGGTTCTTGATTTGGCTCTCTTTAAGTCTGTTATTGGTGTATAGGAATGCTTGTGATTTCTGCACATTGATTTTGTATCCTGAGACTTTGCTGAAGTTGCTTACCTGTTTAAGTAGATTTTGGGCTGAGATATGAGGTCTTCTAAATATACAATCATATCGTCTGCAAATAGAGACAACTTGACTTCCTCTTTTCCTAAGTGAATACCCTTTAATTCTTTTTCTTGACTGAATGCTCTGGCTAGAACTTCCAATACTATATTGAATAGGAGTGGTTAGAGAGGGGCATCCTTGTCTAGTGCCAGATTTCAAAAGGAATGCCCAAAGTAATTTATAGATTCTTAACAATTTTTCCTTGATTTAAACCCTGATGAATCTGACAAATATGTGCCTTGGGGCACATAATTGAGGAATTCTTGAGAGCACTTCTTGAGGAATATCTTTGTGTTGTTCTCTGTATTTCCTGGACTTGAATATTGGCCTGCCTTGCTAGGTTTGGGAAGTTCTCCTGGATAATATCCTAAAGAATGTTTTCCAGCTTGGATTCATTCTCTCTGTCACATTCAGGTTCACCTATCAAATGTAGATTAGGTCTTTTCACATAATCCCGTGTTCCTTGGAGGCTTTGTTCATTTCTTTTTACTCTTTTTTTTCTCTAACCTTGCCTTCTTATTTTATTTCATTGAGTTCATCTTCAATCTCTGATATCCTTTCTTCTGCTTGGTCAATTTGGCTATTGAAACTTGTGTATGCTTTGCAAGATTCTTGTGTTGTGTTTTTCGGCTTCATCAATTCATTTATATTCTTCTCTAATGTGTTTATTCTTGTTAGCATTTTGTCAAACCTTTTATTAAGGTTCTTAGTTTCTTTGCATGGGTTAGAACATGTTCTTTTAGCTCAGAGAAGTTTGTTATTACCCACTTTCTGAAGGCTGTTTCTGTCAATTCATCAGATTCATTCTCCATCCAGCCTATTTCCCTTGCTGGTGAGGAGTTGTGATCCCTTGGAGGAGGAGAGGCATTCTGGTTTTGTGCATTTTCATACTTTTCCTGCTGGTTTCTTCCCATCTTTGTGGATTTATCTACCTGTAGTCTTTGTAGTTGGTGACTCAGATAGGGTCTCTGAGTGGATGTCCTTTTTGTTAATGATAAAGTTATTTCTTTCTGTTTTTTAGTTTTCCTTCTAACACTCAGGCCCCTCTGCTATAGGACTGCTAGAGTTCCACTCCAGACCCTGCTTGCCTGGGGGTCACCTGTGGTGCTGCACAACAGTAAAGTTGCTGCCAGTTTCTTCTTCTGTTATCTTTGTCCCAGAAGGAAACCCGCCAGATGTCAGCCTGAGCTCTCCTTTATGAGGTGACTCTTTGGATGTACAGGGGTAGGGAAGCTGATTGAGGAGACAGTCTGTCCCTTATAGGAGCTCAAGTGCTGACCTGTGAGCTCCATTGTTCCATTCAGAGCTGCTGGGCAGGTACATTTAAGTCTGTTGCAGTGGAACTCATAAGTGCCTTTTTCCCCCAGGTTCTCTGTCCTGGGAAGGTGGGGCTTTATTTATAAGTTCCTGATGTGCTGCTGCCTTTTTTCAGAGATGCCATGCCAAGCAAGAAGGTAGCATAGTCACAGTCTCCCAGCAGAGGCGTTGCTGAGCTGCTGGGGGCTCTGTCCAGCTGCTGTGTGAACTTCCTTGTGGTTTTGTTTATAGAGGTATAGTTAGAACTGCCTCCGTAATGGTGGACTGTCTCTGTAATGATGGACTGCTGTGGTAATGGCAGATTGCCTCAGTCATTTTTTTCCTTCTGATTATTGATAAAGCCATGTCTATCTATCATCTGTCTACTAGAGAGAGACTATTGTTAATATTTTAGCTTTTTTCCTTCTGATTTTGATAAAGCCATGTCTATCATCTATCATCTATCTACCTACCTACCTACATAGGTAGGTATCTACCTACCATATACATAGATATGGATTACCATCCTTTTTTACATGGCCTATCATGAAATGTTTCTGTGTCATTAAATACTCTTGAGAAACAAAAATTGAATGTTTGTCTATTAGCCCATCTTATATAAATGAACAGGCGTATGCCATTTTACTGCATTTCACTTTATTGTACATAGCACATATTGCATTTTTTACAAAGTACAGCTTTGTGGCAACCCTGCCACAAATTCATCAATTACAATTGTTTGGGGGTACCATGAACCCCACCATGTAAGATGGAACTTAACTGATAAATGAGTGTGTTCTGCCTTTTCTACTAACTGGGCAATTCCCCATATCTCTTCATTTCATCAGACCTTCCCTGAGATATAACAATATTGAAATTAGGCCAGTTAATTATTTGACAGTGGCATCTAGATGTTCAAATGAAAGGAAAAGTTGCACATCTCTCATTTTAAATCAAAAGCTTGAAATGGATTAAGCTTAGTGAGAAAGGCAAATCAAAAACAAAGATGGGG